TATATATGAATAATAAAATCTAATAAAACACAGGTTATCAATTCACCTCACAAATCTCCCTCTCAGAGCACAAAACAAAGGAGGTGCTTATGTAACGATTATCTAAAGGTCGATAAATGGCCAAAAAAAATCTCTGTGAATTGCACTTCTGTACATATTTACCGATTAGGCGAAGGACTGAGACGTTAAATAACGAGCTTCACGATAAAATATCACTTCAGAGAAGAGAGACCCTAATCGGGGAATTTTCCAAGCGTTAAATCGTTTGGCGAATTGCACATGCTTAAATATCATGCGATATCTATTAAATAACGAGCAAAATCGGGGGAATAAAAGCTTTGTGACCCCTTTGCGGTAAAATAACTAATGCGGTAACTCTCAAATATACAATTCAGTAAAATCTATGAGTTATTTTCCGAATGAGATAATTTTTCTTCTCATGTGCCAAGCAAGTGAAATATCACATGTGATAATAAAAGGGTCAATTCATTAAAAACAAATGAATGAATGTGACATAAATAATGCAAACACTGGAGAAAAATTTGACAAATATTACATTAAAAAACATTGAAGTCAATTCACAAAAAAACACACAGATGAGGTCATTATCACCAGGCTGGGGTAGTCGATGTTTGCGGCCTGTCAGCCGCCTGTGGCAGTGTGAAAGTGTTCATAAAAACAATTAAAAATAAATAAAGCCTAAATTTTTAGAGAAATACCTCATGTTTTGAAGAAATATCTCATTCGGTGAATAACTCAATAACTCAATAATAAATTTGACTGAACTGTATATTTAACCGATAAATAATTCATGAGTTATTTTACCTCAAAATGTCATGAGGTATTCAGTTCTTAAGGCTGCATTCACACCCAAGCAACACCTATTACTCACGTCTTACGCATGTTTTTTGTGAGCTTTTTTTGCACGTTTTTACGAGCAGATTGTGGCATATTCATGTGCATGGGCAAAACACGCTGAATCTGCTCAAAAATAATTGCAACGTGCGTTTTTCAAGCATTTTCTTGTAAAACCAAGGGTAGAAAAAAAGCGGAATCTACCCCAAAGAAGCTCATGTAGTATTTCGTGCAACAGGCGTATTTCTGCTTGCGAGAACACGCCCAGGCGTGAACAGGGGCCATAGAACTGAATGGGATTCCTGGGGTCGAGCGTTTTGTTGCGCTGACTGGCGCGCAACAATACGCTTAGGTGTGAATTGAGCCCTGTATGTGGTAATTATCACCAGTTGATATTTGCGGCCTGTGGCAGTGTGAAAAGGTTCATAACCTCCATTTTGAGGTAATGGAAGTATTGTAGAAGACATTGCTGGAATATAAATTTGTCTAAAGGAGGATACAGAGAAGAATGGCGTCCTGAAGGCAGGAATGGTGACAAATAAAAACCATTTTTTACGCCTTGGCTGGTTTTTAATGTTTTGAGTGCGACCCTGTGCCCTTTGTATCACTGGAAATGACCAAATTTAAAAAAGTGAAAAGATAAAGCCTAAATGATGAGGTAAATACTGCCGCCTCAACTCACTATTCTGTGTTGGAGCTGTGCTGGCCATTTCCAGCTCAGCCCCAACGCAAGACAAGGCAATTTGGCTCGTCACGTATTGCGTGGATTCACTCCAACACCGTATTTTGCGGTGAAAAAAAAGTAAGGCGTGCCTTACTATTTTTTTTTTTTAAAGCTGCGGGATGTGACGTGGTACAACCCTCTCGCACCCCTCTGTGCCCGTAGAACTAAATGAAATTTCGCTTGTGACATTTCAATAAAGTTCTAACAAAAAAAAGTGGGAGCAGCACTTTGACGCCAGACGTTGTGCAATTAGTGCCCATTCTGCTGTGAATGGACCCTAAACGCTAATTACCTCATTCAATTTTGAGGTATTTTTTTGTTATTTATCTCTTGATTATACAATTCAGTCAAATCTATGAGTTATTTACTGAATGAGAGATTTCTTGCAGTATTTACCTCATAATTTAGGCTTTATTTTTTCCTTTTATGGGTTCCCAGTGAAAAAACGGGCACAGTAAATTGCAACATAACATTAACAAACCAACCAAGGTGTAAAAATTGCTTTTTATTTGGTCACATTCCTGCCTTCGGGATAGCATGAGTTACTTTACCTCAAAACTTCATGAGGTGCCATCTTTTATCGAATTGAGCCCCCTATCTCATTAGATTATTAGTGAATTGACCCCATTTTGCCTCAAAATGCATGAATTAGTGAATTGAGCCCCACGTGACCATATCATCTCATGCCATAGTGTTTACTTAATTGAGCCTTTGAGGAAGCATTATCGATCGCTATTCGCTACGGCTCTCACGTAACTCCTGACAACAATGCCTACACTACGAGCAGTTCCCTGCTGTTTCCATGACAACACCACATCGCCACGCCCACCCCCTTGCCTACGACTGGCATCTTATCAACTCGCTCGCCCCTCTCTCCGCTGATTTGCTCCGGCCCTTTTTTCCCTCTACGTCTATTGGCCGACGGCTTTTTCACCCCCTCCCCTCCCCTCCCCTCGTCTCATCAGCCGTAGTGCTGCAGTCCGGAGGAAACCGCAGTGGATCCCCGAGCGAGGATGCTGCTGTTCGAGCGGGCACGCCCAGAATGGGCGTGGCCTCCGGCTCGATGTTCTCAGCCAGCAATTGAGGCCGCCTGGCAGGCTAAAATGGCGGCTGGAGCTATTAGGTGCTGAGGAGACCGGACAGAAGAGGCAGACAGGGCTAATGCTGGGTAGGAACAATCGAGTGGCCGGTTCGGGGATTGGGCTACGCCGGCTGCACGGACCTCGTCTGTGTGGGTTGTTGTGGGTGAGGGGAGGAGGAATGGGCTGTGTATGTCAGGAGTGAGTATCACCCTGTCCTAGGAGTGTGTATGGTGCAATGGACAGGCATGGCACACACTGCCACTCTATGACATTCAGAGGCTGGGGGAACCACAGGTCCCAGCATGGCAGTGTGTGTCTGTGACTGCAGGGGACTTACAAACATCACCATGGTATATGTGTCTGCCTGTGTGTGAGGACTAGTCCACCCTTCCATTCCTCACTTATAGATGGAGTGTGATGGCTGGCTTCTATTGCCCCTCATCTGGTGACCCTGTCACCATAACAGACACCAATCAATGCATCTCTGTGATCATCAGTATTCAATGTGGATTTATAAATGCAAGCAGTGTGCACACCTGAATTGGACCTGGTATCAGCCATTTGTAGTCCCTGTACAGCAGATCCCAGTGTAGGGGAGGGAGCCAATCAGTGCAAGGAGAATGCTGATTGGATGACATAGCAGAGAGATGAGCTTATCAGCGAGCAATCATTAGGGGGGGACCCGTAAGTGTTACTTAAAGCTGAACTCCGGGCACACAACGTTAATTTAAATATATTCCTCGGTAGTCAAAAAGGTACCAAATGCCTTTGTGCACCCAAATTACCTTGTAAAAGTATCAGTGACATCATCACAGAGCAGTGGGAGGGACTGACCCAGCAGGCCCCACCCACAACAGGCTGCTTGCCAGAAGAGGGAGGATACAAGACCAGTCACCCTGCACATGGAGAGAGAGCAGTGAGCGTTCTTTATTATAGGAGTGGGCGGAGACAAGACCAGTCACCCTGCACAAGGAGAGAGAGCAGCAGTGACCGGTCTTTATTACAGGAGGAGGGGAGAAGACAAGACCAGTTACCCTGCACAAGGAGAGAGAGCAGCAGTGACCGATCTTTATTACAGGAGGGGGCGGAGACAAGACAAGTCACCCTGCACATGGAGAGAGAGCAGTGAGCGTTCTTTATTATAGGAGTGGGCGGAGACAAGACCAGTCACCCTGCACAAGGAGAGAGAGCAGCAGTGACCGATCTTTATTACAGGAGGGGGCGGAGACAAGACAAGTCACCCTGCACAAAGAGAGAGCAGCAGTGACCGGTCTTTATTACAGGAGGGGGCGGAGACAAGACAAGTCACCCTGCACAAAGAGAGAGCAGCAGTGACCGATCTTTATTACAGGAGTTGTTGTTGGAGCAAGCCATGACGTGTTGACATTGCTGCTCGCTGTTGTGGGAGGGCCCAAGAGTGTCAGACTATCGTTTGACTGACCGGACATGTTTATACTGCAACATAACCCGCCGTTCACAACTGCACGTCCCAATGCATAATGGGAATTGTAGTTTTCACACACCTAAGGATCACATTTACTTGTATCCCGGAGTTCAGTTTTAACTGCAGGAGAGCAAAGTGAGGTTTTCGACTCTGCCAGGCAGGACTGTGCTGTGTGGCAGAGCTGTGTAAATCTCTGGACTGGATGGACAGGAGTACAGATCCTTCGACAGGTAAAACGTTTCCCAGATGTGTATTGGTGGATTGAGCACACACCTATAGGTAAAGTCTGTCTTCAGTTTTATTTACGGTAGTTGTCCTGAAGGTTGCGCTTCTATTATTGATCATCTGTGACACCTCCTGGGGGTGTGGTATAGAGGAGGAGCGCTGCCCTCCTGTCAAGGAAAGCCTTGTGTGATTGGGTTATGTGAGGCACTAACAGGACCACTGCCGATTGGTTGACAAACTCCAGGCAGAAAGAAACATTAACCTTTGCGGGGCGGGGGAAGGGCGACGCTGCGCTCGCTTTCTTCTAGGAGTGGAAATAAAGTTATACTCACCTGAACCTCTGACCTGCCTGTTAGACCGGTCCCCGCAGCCTCCCTCCTCCTCTCCCTCGTTGTCCTCGCGTCCAATGCACTGTATTAGACGTGATGACTCCCCGGACTTTGGACTACCAGAGCGGAGGGGGAGCGAGGCTACATGGGCCGGTCTAACAGCCAGGCGGGATTGAGGTTCAGGTGAGTATAACTTTATTAGGCCCTGGACGAAAACGAGCACCTAACCCTTGCAGTGCGTGAAAGGGTTAAGAATTCTTCAGCCCGGAGTTCCTCTTTAATCTCCCCAGTGGGGACACACCAATAAACGTTGATCGGTTTAACCCTTCCCCCACTCTATCCAAAAACCTTCCCCCACTCTATCGCCTAAGCTTGAAATGTTTCAGCTTTGATTGGTCTTGACGATGGACTGTTTGTCCCGCACAGTATAAGTAGCTCAGTCATAATGCACATGTATTGTTCTGCCTGTATAAAAGTTTAGGTTTGTAGGGGGCACCCCCTCTTTACTATAAACATGTGATCAATGTTCCCCTTTTTGTCTTCATTTGTATAGATAAGGGGGAGCGGTCGCCTGTTCTCTGCCTGGCCAGGCAGCCTCACCCCCCAAGTGCTGGTTGCAAATGAGAATGGAAGACATGTCTCTATCTGGCCTGGATAACAGTAAATTAGAGGTAAGGATGGAGATTGGTCAAGTTGAGGGGTGTGCCTTCAGCCCTTGCCTTGTCTTCTCTTGTAGCCCGACAGTAGGATTCAATCCTGCCCAGTTTCATCAATTGAATGGAAACCCATGGTTGTTGGTATGGTCCTTACATGAAGTGAATTAGAAGTGACATCTACGTGTAGAACAAATGTTTCATATATTTGTAAATGACATATGATTTGTAATCACACAAAGTGTAAGGTAGCCACGTTCCACCTTTTACATTTGCAGAATCTGAATACCACCTGTGTTGAATTGAATGTTCAGGGCAGAGTGACAGGTTCTCTTGAAAGTCCTCACCCATTGACACTTACGTTCTCCTCTGCTGCCCTTTTGGCCTTCTGGAGCCCCGAGTCTAATCCCTGTGTAGGCTCCATGTTGCTTTTTGCTCGAGCTTACACAGAATTAAGTGACCTCCTCTCCTCACCCATGTGATAGTGTTTAGGCCTGCCAATTAGCCGATCACCAAGTGACTTTCTCTCCTCACCCATGTGATGGTGATCGGCCAATTGCCATGCCTGAACACTAAGTGACCTTCTCTCCTCACCTATGAGATAGTGTTCAGGCTTGGCAATTGGCCGATCACCAAGTGAACGTCTCTGTTCACCCATGTGCTAGTGTTCAGGCCTGGCGATTAGCCGAAGACCAAGTGACCTTCTTTCCTAACCCATGTGATAGTGTTTAGGTTTGGCAATTGGCCGATCAGAGCTCCGGCCCAAAGGAAATGAGCACCGGCACAGCCAGTATCCGCTATGCGGTCTGCATCTGTCGGAGATGCAGACCGTGTAGCTGCTCCCACAAGTCAGGTATGCGGTTTGTGACCACGTGCCTGACTGTTCAGCTGGCTGCGGCCCACATAGTACCGGTTCGCGGGCGGCTACTTTGAGACAACTGATTTAAACATTTTTGCTGCAACGATGTACTCTGTGTGTCTTTAGGCATTTACTATCTATGGCAAGGGTGGACAAATCAATATGGAACTCAGGAGCCAGCAGGGTTTTTAGGAGCAAAAAACAATATAATGGTCACGAAAGACCGTGACTTAAGAAGAAGGCAGTCACTATAATGACCAAACTCAAGATGAATGAAAAATGACAAAATGTGTTGCATAGAAAACAGTTTTAACCCTTCACCGCGTTCAAAAACAGACAATGTGGTCATGCTGACACACTTTCACACAGCACTAACGCACAACTTTGTATAGGTTCTGAAAGTGATTGCTAATTGGCAAATCCCGGCATGTCATAATCAGCATACCAAAAACACGCAAGAAACATTGTTATTCCTTGCTGAAAGATCTTCAATAGACAGACATTTCTGCACACGGGATTGGTTCGCAGGGAGGAAAGTAACAAGAATTGTTGCAATTTGTACATTTCCTGCTTGAAACGTAAACAATCTACTACTACAATCAGCTACTTCATTGCAGTTTGGTGATAATTTCAGCCCATAGCATAACATTGTACTTTCTTTTCCCTCAATCAATCTGAACATACTATACAGCGTCACAATCCATCATGGGTTATTTAACCCTTCTGTGTTGTGAAATGCTAAAAACATGCCTAGGAGCCAGCTGCATTGCTCAACAACTAGAGAGAACCTCAAAAGTTGGGTTCCAGCTTTAATTTTTAAGGAGCCTTGGGGACCTGGATCAGGGGATTTGTCCAGTCCTAATCTACGGTGGAACATAGGATGCTGTAGTTTGTAAAGCAGACTGCGTGTAGTTTGACACCTGGATGGCTTCTACGGATCATTTAACCCATTCATATTAGCAGAGGATAATTGTAAATCTATTGTTCAGTGCACTCTATATGTAGTATATAGTACATGTACATATAGAGTGCCTGCAACAATACATTTACAATGATCCTCTGCTAACATGAATGGGTTAAATGATCCATTGTACAGGGCTACATACAGATCATTTAATACATTCATGTTAGTATAATTGTAAATGTATTGTCTGCACTGTATTAGCAGTATATACTCTATATGTAGTATATACTGTTAATACAGTGCAGACAATACATATATAATTGCTTAATGAATCTCTCTCTCTACCCCAGCGCCCTCCCCGCCCTCACTCACTGTGTCCGTGTGCCGGTGATCGATCATCACATCACGGAGAGAGCAGGGACGAGCAGTCTCCGGCCACCTAAATTAGGACCCGGAGACTGCCAGATGACCCCGCTCGGAGCGCCGCACACCGGAGCAGCAGTGACGTGACGCTCGGCGAGGTAAGTAAGAAGACGCGCTGGCGCTGACTCGAGTATAAGCCGAGGGGGGGGGGGCACTTTTCACCCCAAAAAATGGGCTTAAAATCTCGGCTTATACTCGAGTATATACGGTACTCCTGTTATCACAAACCGCTCTTGCTTTGTCGTTTGCTTGAGAGAATACACGTTTAGTCAGACATGATGCTATGTGATGTGTACATGGCTACTTCTGAGAGCGCTTGTCACGGGTCCTCCATTCTCATCCTCTGCAATATGCATCCTGTGACGTGCATACTTGTTCTTAGTTGGTAACTCTGAAATTAATAATAAAAATGAGCAGAAAAGTGGATAAGCATGGCAAACCTGCATTTCCAGTAGTAGGTCAGTCATGGCAGCACCTCTATCGTGACAGGCGGCATTTTATATATATATATATAGCCCCCCCCCTTCCTTAAAGCAGTTAGGCTTTCAGTATGGACATGAGTGGTTGGAAGATGTGATTGCTGCATGATCCTTCCATAAACAAAAACCTGCATACTTGTCTCTTTAAATCATTCCTATCCATAAACTGAGCATCCTCTCAGGGGGACAGTAGCAGTCATCTGGGATAATCTGTTTCATACAATTCATGAATCTCTTTAGAGATGGGATGACTGTGGGGCGTGTGCAGATGTGGCATGCTGCTCGTTAACATACGATTATGGATGTGATCACGTCCTCTATTTTTAGCAGGCACCCTTAGATCTATTAAAGGATATCTATACTTTTGTATGGTTAGCCTGCCCAGTCTTATACTGTCCTATCTTTGCTCCTGTGAGATTCAGCTTATGTACAGAGAAAGTCTCTGGTTCCTATGGAGAGTCTGTCTATTATGTATCCCAGTGATAGATGGCATCTCCTTAGGGATGAATGTGATCTCGCAGTCGTGTGGGCTACCGAGCATAAAACATTTGTGGTATAACTGTACCAAAGTATGCTTGTACCAATCGGCCATAACATTATGACCATCCACCTAACATTGAGTAGGGACCCTTTTGCCTCCAAAACAGCCCTGACCCATGGAGTTATGGACTCCTGTAGACCTCTGAAGGTATGCTGTGGTATCTGGCACCAAGCCGTCAGTAGCAGAACCTTTAAGTCCTGTAAGTTGTGAGGTGGGCCCTCCATGGATTGGACTTGTTTTTCCAGCACATCCCACAGATGATCGATTGGGTTGAGATCTGGAGAATTTGGAGGTCAAATCAACGCCTCAAATTTGTCATTGTGTTCTTCAAACCAATCTTGAACCATTTTTACAGTGTGGCAGGGCACATTATCCTGCTAAAGGAGACCATTGCCATCGGGGAATACCATTTCTATGAAGGGGTGTACTTGGTCAGCAGCAATGTTTAGGTCGGTGGTACATGCCAGTAACATCCACATGAATGGCAGGAGCCAAGGTTTCCCAGCAGAACATTGATCACACTGCCTTCGCCAGCTTGCCTGCTTCTCACATCCTGGTGCCATCTCTTCCCCAGGTAAGTGCACACACGCACCCAGCCATCCAGATGATGTAAAACAAAACGTGATTTATCAGACCAGGCCACCTTCTTCCATTGCTCCATGGTCCAGTTTTAATGCTCATATGCCTATCGTGTGAGCTTTTGGCAGTGGACACGGTCAGCATGGGCACCTTGTCCTGTCTGCCACTACACAACATCCCATAATGCATTGTGCATTCAGACATCTTTCTATCGGAACCAACATTTACTTTTTCAGAAATTTTAGCTACAATAGCTTTTCTTTTGGATTCGCTCCCCACCTGCATCAGTGAGCCTGTTGCCGGTTCACCGGTTTTCCCTCCTTGGACCACTTCTGGTAGGTCCTGACCACTGCAGACTGGGATCGTCTCACAAGAGATGCAGTTTTGGAGTTGCTCCGACCCAATCGTCTAGCCATCACAATTTGGCCTCTGTCAAAGTCACTCCAATCCTTACGCTTGCCTGTTTTTTTCTGCTTCCAACACATCAACTTCAGGGACAAAATGTTCATTTGCTGCCTAATATACCCCACTTCCAGGTGCCATTGCACCCAGATATTCAATGATAGTCACTTTACCCCTCAGTGGTTATAATGTTATGACGGATCAGTGTGTACTTTAAATCATTGAAGAATGGAGAGAAGACGTCAACATTTAAAACCACGTTTCCATTCTAGAGATGCCAGCCACGGACACAGCTGCTAATCCATTCTTCAGTGTCTCCTGTATAGGTAACTGCTAGAAAGCAGAATGAATGATCACATCCAATATGGACATAGAAAAGAATGACTTTGTGCACAAGGGTCACACCCTTCTAGCACTTCCTGAATCTTTTCTGTTTTGCAGGTCAGTATAATCAAGACTTTTCTTGTAGCTCCCCTCCAGCATGATTGTACTGGTTTCTATGGAAAATACAGTAGTCTGTGTATAAACTGATCGACTTACTACATACGGTACTGGTGCCTTTGGACATGGTCTAGTTTTGTGCCTGGTTCATACAGCATTAAAATAAACCTATTATGTTTTATAGTTTGACACAGCTGAGCTTGGTATAAACAAGCTCTAGTTCCCTGTATGGGACTCTTATCATTAGAGCATTGTGGGATCTTGTACTTGGTCCTTCCTACATTGTGTATCATTGAAGGTTACATTTTTCTTTTGAAACAACAATTTGTAATTTTGCCCCCCCGCCCCCCCCCCCCCCAAAAAAACCCATAGGAAATAAAAAACATTATAACGGATACTTAAAGCTGAACTGTGCAGATATAGAAGATGCAATACTACTACCCCCGTTTGATTTTGTTATCAACCTCTTGCAGTCCATGTACATCAGATCTCTGAAGCAGCAGCCTTTTCTGAGAACGGAGAGATAATCTTATCGGTTTGCTGCTTCTCTATTTACTGTCCAGTCACAGAGCCGGGGAGGGACAAGACCTGTAAGTGTTACTGAACTGTTGCAGAGAAAACTCGGGTCTCCACCCAAACCAGACAGGCTTGTGTTCTGCAGCACAGCAATAATAAAAAACAAAAACCTTTGGCAGTTACATCTCCTTTTTATAGGTATTGCATTTGTGTATTTAGCTGTTCACCTGGCGTTTTTTTTTTCTTCGGGCTTGGTAGTTTTTGTTCAGCTTGCAGCGTTTAGACCTTTTTTTTCTCCTACAATGTATATAAAAGCTACTTTGTTGTCATTGCTTCTCCCATTTATATCCTGGTATTTTTCTCCTCTCTTAGGCCCTTGCTCATGATATTTACACTGATCTGGTGGAGGATACGTGTCTGGGGTTAGGTTTCGAGATTCACCGGGCTGTTAAATGTGGCTATTTCCTGCTGGATGAGACGGACCCTGAGAGCATGAAAGACTTTGGTAAGTCAGCGTTTGTCTAAGCTTGTGTGTCATTTCCTTCACAGCGTATGACCAAATCACCGATATCACAGGTATAATAATGCTGAGGGTGAAGGGAAAGGAATTTTGGGGAAAAGCTAGAACTTTAGGATTGAACACTTTGTTTTTTTCTCCTGCACCCATCCTGTATTTGTGTAGAGTTCTATTCACCAGGCTGGAGGTAATGGGAAATCTACTGCGATGATGTGATATTTTTCCAACATTTGTGCAACTACTGACCTCATGATTGAATGTTTATACAGGTAGAACCGTTCTTGTTACCCCTATCAGCCAATCACAATCTCCCTTTAATGTTTCTAGTATATCATGTGAGAATCGGGTGCTAGGAGCCCATGGGTGGACTGTGATTTGGCAGGGTGGGCATTTGCCCCCTGGCCAGTTACAAAGATAAGGTTGGTGGCCCTGAGTGTGGACACTTCATCAATCAGAGCAGGGCGTGCAGATGGTGACACACGGTGGGTGTTGTATAACTACCTGCTCCCTATTCAGACCTGCGATCATAGCATCTGGCAGGGGGGGAAGTCTTCCAACACCAACTTACTTTCCAGCTCTGAGATGTCATGTGGCCAAATGCTATGAGCTGCAAAGGAAGGTTATGCAGGAAGATGTCTCTATGACCAAGCCCAGGATTAGGTGAAACATGTTAGAGGGGGTGGACCTCGGGCAGGACTCTGTGTCACTGGCAAACCTTCAATAAACTGATCTAATGTGGAATGGAGTGCGGCCGGCTTCTTCTTTTACTAGATGTGCTTTAGAAACGCCCACCTTTTTCCATGCCCAGCAATCAAGGTGGCACCATGGCACACTTTGCATAGTACACTTCCCGTAGCCCACACATGGTTGAATGGCCCCCAAGGCCAATGGTTTCCCAATCCTCCCTTGTAGAAGCCACCTAGGCAGAGTGAAAACTGTATAGCATATATCCTGTCTGGTGGCTCAGTATTCTTCAGCAGTATTTCTAATATACAAATAGCTGTAGGTGGATATCCTTTGAATCTCTGTACAGCTCAATACACAGTGAATGCATCAAGTGAATATTTTTGTTTTAAGGAGAGCGTGCTTGCTGTACATCATTCACAAGTCCATAGTAATAGGGGGTAGGCGTCAGTATCTACCCTGATGACAGCTTTTGCTAACTGGATCCCAGGCACTGAGTATGTCTGAGGAGTGTTTAGCTTGCCTCAGCACATTATATATCTGGTCTATGTATGATGAATGGTGCATATTGCAAGTAAAAAATCACAGAAGAATCTATTTAAATGCTTACTCTCAGCATCTTTCCTTTCCATCATTTTGTTATTCACTTTCGATGTGCCTCCGAAATTGCTAGAAAATTTGACTACTTTAGGAAGAGTCAATTTCCTAGCCCAACCCCCCTCCCTCCTTGCACATAATAGCCCTCTCCTCTTCTGGGAGTGTCCAATTGCTGACTTTGCTGGCCTAGCTCCTTTGCCCCTCCTTGTACCTCCCAGCATAACCTTTTTTCTGTAGCAGCCAGGGGAGAAGCAAAGTTATGGGTAGCCAAATTTTCACACCACAACAGGAGGGCCAAAGCTTGGCTAGCCCTGCTGTAGAGTGTCACTTGAGTGTGATGGAGCTGCTGACATTACACCCAAGAAGGGGGCAACCAGCACATTTTTTGGCCCTTTTTGGATGTCTACACAAGGGAGGATTGTTCAGGTAACATGCATCAAATACATGAAATGTACCTAATGATCTTATGGGAGGATTGTTGTTGAAATGAATTGTATGGTGGCAACGTCTATTTAATGTTGTGGCTCCCTGAATATTTCATTTTGGTTATTCCGCGCTTTACATGTTCTTTTCCCGTGTGTTGTCACTCCCTCATTTTTTTGTTTTTTCTTCCCCCCCACACTTCAGAAATCATAGACCAGCCAGGTGTGGACATCTTTGGTCAGGTTTATAACCAGTGGAAGAGCAAAGAGTGTGTGTGTCCAAATTGCAATCGCAGTATAGCAGCCTCCCGCTTTGCCCCTCACCTTGAGAAATGTCTGGGCATGGGCCGAAACAGCAGCCGCATCGCCAATCGCAGGTACATGGGAGGCTCTTTTAAGTTCAGTTTTGGGTAGGGATTTTTTTCTGAAACTTCCAGCTATATGTCCTCTGTTAGCTCGGATCTTCCAGGGAGCCTGCTAACTTCAAGGGAATGCCGCTCAGTTTAACCAGTTGAACCATTTGTGGGCATTAGGCATGCCCAAGAAAACGTCATCTGCGTGCACAGGTCAAGTGTAGTACCTCTCCCCTCTGCTTTTTGTATTAACTCTCATGTCATTCCTCTGTAGATCAAAGGGATGACCATCAATCTCATATCATGTCATTTAAAACAACCTCACAAGTTTTTTTATTTTACACCATTTAATAACCTTTTACCATAATCAGCCCTCCTTAAAGCAGATCTCTGGGGGGGGGGGGGAACTTTTTACCCTTTCAGTGGGGCCA